CCGTCGAAGTCCCCACCAAAGCCCACGGCTCCGGCTCCCGCCACCTTCTTGATGTGGTCCAGGTGGTCTGGGGGGAGACAGCCGGTGTGGGTCCTGGGAGAGGCGCCCTGCCCCCAGCCATGCGTCCGCTCGCACCCACCTACCTGCCACTTGAGACAGGTTGGCCTCCCTTTTGCAGGCGACGTAGTCATTGTAGAAGTTCACCATCACCAGGCTGCCCGTCCGCTTCTGCTCAGAGAGAGAGGAGCCGTGGGCACAGGGTTGGGGGCAGCACTGGAGCCCAGGAGGACCGCTGGGGCCCAGGACCGCCCGGGGCAGAGCCCCCGCCCTCACCACCAGCTGGAGCACGTCGTCCGGCACGTTTCGCCAGTGCTTGCACAGCGCGAAGGCGGAGGAGTGGCTGAAGATGACGGGGGCCTGGGACTGGTTGAGCGCGGCCTTCATGGTGGCCACAGACACGTGGGCCAGGTCGATGATGACGCCCAGCCGGTTCATCTCCCTCACCACGCTCTGGGGGGACACGGGGCTCAGGGGCCGGGAGCGCCGGACCCCGGTCAGGGGGCGATGGGCCAGGCGGGCTGCACTGGGTGCACTTTATTGGCACAGGCCTCTGGGGCTCACCGCTGCCCCCTGAGAGGTGCAGGCAGGGGGAGGCGTTTGGGCAGGGCCCCCTGCTGGCCTGGTGTCCAACACTCCCCGGCTGGAGGGTTGGGCCACTGATGACCAGTGCGTTCCAGCTACATGCTCAGCCCAGGACGCTCCGTTTTGCAAGCGAGGGAAACCGAGGTGCTTGCCCTGCCACCCACCTTCCCGAAGTCGTCCGACAGGCCGCTGTGCTGGGCATCGTGGTCCCCGGTGTCCACCAGCCAGTTGTCCGCCCTGGAGGGAGGAGCGCAGTGGTCCCCGCCCACCCGCCCACCCACAGGGGGCTTGCCCCGGCCACCCTCTAGCCTAGGCCCTCGCCCACCCCCCGCCCGGCCTCCCTGCTGTCACTCACCAGGGCGTGTTGCAGCTGTGCGTGAGGGTCAGGTACCGCATGCCCAGCTGGTAGAGTGCCCGCAGGACGCCCAGGCTGCTGTCGATGGAGTGGCCGCCCTCCACCCCGATCAGACTGGCCACCTTCCCCGCCCGGAAGGCCTCTCGGATGCCTGTGAGCAGAGGCATCCGGCCGG